CGGGGTGCATCCCGTGTGATCTGGGGTAGCTGTTCGCACATGTGTCGACCTCCTCCGGCCCGATATCAACAGGAGACTCCGCCCTGCCATCCATCACACATGCTGCTCGACACTACTGCACGGTAATGGTGAGGGTGTCGCATAACGCTCTGTCCGTCTTCATCCAGGCATTCTCCGAAATGACGCAACTTTGGGTCTTCGAACTAGTTAGAAGGTCTTGCGTGTACTATGTACACTTACTACACAGTGACAGCTTCAATAGAGCTCGTGCAACCAGGTGTTGAATCCGCTCACAAAATCCATAACCTCCGTCGTCATTCAGCTCCATCCCCTCGCACCTACCAGTGTAGGTTAGCAAGACACAAGCTAAAGTATTTCCCTAAGACGAATTTGGCGATCAAGCCATGCTTGACGTGTCTGGTCATTCGATCAGACTAGGCCTCGGGACGGGGGTTGTGCGGGGGAGCAAACGCCCTTGTCTCCTCCACCTCCGCAACCCCAACCTCATCTCATCTGTCCGTCATCACAAAACCACCAATAACACACTCCAGTTCCTGGCGGATAGGACCGAACGGCAAGGTTGTCTGATCTGCTTGCCGACATCATTCGGACCCCTGTCGCCATTTCTTGGTCTTGGCCGAGTTGCCCTTTGGAAAAGCAAGCAGTCTGGCCCACGTGCGCCCTGTGGGATACCGTAGGAGCCGTAGCTGAGTGCTACCCTCCCAGCAGGACATAACAACTCCCGAAATTTGAGGGGAAACCAACGAGACTGAAGTCATAGACAAGGCCGGAGTGCCGATCGAATTCGGGGGAGCTGTTGGGAGCAGAAGGGGCTGTTATTGTCAGTTGGGGCAAAGTTTTGGGTAAGATGGCTCGCTGATGATGGTCTGAGAGGACAGAAAGTTGGTTCTGAGATGGTTTGACCGACATGAGTCCACGATCAGCACTGAAAGGGGGCAATATTGGATCAAGAGGCTAATGCAGGCCAACTTGACAGCTCGGTGATACTCTGGCATTCGGGCCTTCAAGGCACATCGGATCGAACCACCCTGGACAGAGACCCTTTTCGTGCCCCTCGGCGGGATATATAATCACCATGGTTTCCCTTCAACATGTCATGTCAGGGGCACTGGCAATCAACAAAACCGAAATCACCCAGCCCATCATGAAGTTGTTCACTTCTGCCCTTCTTCTCGGCTCCATCGCCACCCAGACTATCTTCGGATACCCTGGGGCGAGTGTGATGAAGAGAGATGTTGACTCCTTCATCGCCACGGAAACCCCAATTGCCCTTGCTCAGTTGCTTTGCAACATCGGTCCCAATGGGTGCCATGCAGCTGGTGTGAGCTCTGGTATCGTCATTGCCTCCCCAGACAAGACCGATCCTCCGTGTAAGTGAACGCCTGGTCTCCTCAGAGTTTTTGCGAAGTCAAGCTAATCCTCATAGACTTCTACACCTGGACTAGAGACGCCGGCCTCGTGTTCAAGGCTGTGGTTGACATCTTCACCAACAGTTACGACGCAAACCTGCAGACCAACATCCAGAATTACATTGCCTCTCAAGCCCGCCTCCAGGGTGTGTCGAACCCTTCAGGAAGCTTGAGCGACGGTTCCGGCCTTGGCGAGCCCAAGTTTGAAGTGAATTTGGCCCCTTACACGGGGGCTTGGGGTATGCCAGAGAAACTTTAAGACACATTACATACTGACAGCTTTAAGGACGGCCTCAGAGGGATGGCCCGGCTCTTCGTGCAATCGCAATCATCGGTTACGCCAAGTGGCTGGTTAAGAACGGATACTCCTCGACCGCTTCGTCTGTTCTTTGGCCCGTTATTCGCAATGACTTGAACTATGTCGCTCAGTACTGGTAAGGAGTGCAGATGCTGGCCCCAATGCTTGGTGCTAATCCGCTTCTAGGAACCAAACCGGCTTCGATCTTTGGGAGGAGGTTCAGGGAAGCTCTTTCTTCACAGTTGCCAGCCAACATCGGGGTAGGTAGATCCAAGGCTCACCGATTGCTCGGCGCTAACATTGGACGCAGCTCTCGTAGAGGGCAGCGCACTTGCCAAGTCATTGGGCCTTTCTTGTAACTCCTGCGATGCCATTGCTCCTCAGGTTCTGTGCTTTCAGGGAAGATTCTGGTCTCCATCGGGTAACTTCATGGTTGCCAACAGTAAGCTCAACGTTCCGAATTCCGGCCGTTAGCGGTGGCTACTGACACACACAACCCGAATAGTCAACGGCAATGGCAGATCCGGCAGAGATGCCAACGTTATCCTGGCCTCCATCCACAACTTCGACCCGGCGGCCGCCTGTGATGCTGCCACCTTCCAGCCATGCAGTGACAAGGCTTTGGCTAGCCACAAAGTTGTAGTCGACTCTTTCCGCACCATCTACACCATCAACAACGGCATCGCCCAGTCCGCTGCCATCGCTGTCGGCCGCTACCCGGAGGACAGCTACTACGGTGGTAACCCCTGGTATCTTAACACATTGGCCGCTGCCGAGCAACTCTATGACGCTCTTTATGTCTGGAAACAACAAGGCTCCATCACGGTGACCCAGACTTCCCTGGCCTTCTTCAGAGATCAGCTCGGCTCTGTCGCTCCTGGCACCTATGCATCGGGAACCTCGACGTACACATCGCTGATCAATGCGGTGAGCGCCTACGCTGATGGCTTCATGAACGTGGTCGCAACATATGCCCAGACCAACGGCTCTCTTGCCGAGCAGTTCTCCCGAAGCAACGGACAGCCCCTCTCAGCAGATGACCTTACCTGGTCGTATGCCGCGTTTTTGACAGCTGCCCAGAGACGTGCCGCTGTCATCCCTCCTGGCTGGGTTGGCAGTGCTACTTCTGTTCCTGGCACCTGCGCGGCCACTTCCATCGTTGGCTCCTATACGAGCGCCACCGCAACCTCTTTCCCTGCCAACCAGACTCCGGGCACTGGTGTGCCGCCCACAGCAACGACAACTGGTCCTACTCCAACTGCTACCTCTTGTCCCGGCTCGGTGCTCGTCACTTTCAACGAGAGAGTCGTCACGCAGTTCGGCCAGACCATCAAGATTGTTGGAAACACTGCCCAGCTTGGCAACTGGAGTCCAGGCAGCGCTATCTCTCTTAGTGCTTCAGGATACACGTCTGCCAACCCTGTGTGGTCTGTGACGATCGAACTGCAGGCCGGACAGGCTATCCAGTACAAGTACATCAATGTCGCCAGCGATGGTACTGTGACCTGGGAGGCCGACCCTAACCATACTTACACCGTTCCCTCGTGCACCACAGCGGCGACGAAGTCTGATACCTGGCAGTGATGAACGTGTACTTGAACTTCGGCCTAGCTTGGCATATTTGGATTTGGATCATAGGTACAAACGGAACCCCTGTACATAGTCGGGAATAAGTATATGAGCAGTAAAACGTTATTACTCGGCCTTCTCTGTCGCCCTCCGCTCGAGTTCTGTAATGATGATCTCGATGGTCCATTCCAAAGTCGCCTCCATGTCGATATCCAGACCCTTGCCGAGCTGGGCCTTGATATCCTTTTCTTGCAAAACCTTCTCGTTCAGCCTACCCTCCACATTGCCCTCTTCAAACAACCACTGGTGCGCTTCAACATAATTAGGCCAAACAATCTTGTCAACATAACCAGGCGGGTCCTTCCAGAAACCTTCCAGAGTGACATAGCCATCGCGGGCCTCGCGCCGTTGTTGTGCCTTGGCTCGGCTGACCAGAAGAAATAGCTTGATGTCGATAAGGCTCATCGTAGTCTCCATTTCCTTGCAGTACAGAAGGAAGCCGTCGAAAAGGCAAACTCTCAACTTGCCCTCGGTGAAGATGGCGTGTCCGGGCTGGCCTGGTTCCAGCCAACGGCTGACCCTTGCTTTCATGGCAGCAATCTTTTCATCAGAGACTGGGCACTTTCCGACAGAGTTTTGGTCCTCCTTGGAGTCTACGAAAGGCTATTCAAACCGTAAGTATATTTGAGAGCCACAACTCTTTCGCAACTCACTGGAAATGTCCCATTTTCACGGATATGAGTAAGGGCCTTATTCATGTCAGGCACTGAGATGGCCTCAGGGCAGTCCCAGTCGAGGAGCCCATTCTTCGTGGGGAGCCTACCGGATTATGTCAGTCAGATAACGATATCAGACATCAGAATTTACTTACTCAGACTCCGGCTTGTAAAAGTCATCTTCGTGGAGGATAAAGGTGTTGGGGAAAATATCTCGCAACAAGCGAGCCAACGTCGTCTTGCCGCTTGAGGAGCAGCCGCTGAGGCCTATTACCACGTTGTTGCCCCCGTTCATCGTGAAGGATCCTTCTGATATGAGAATCTTGACAACGGTTAGCCAAGGCACTCTGACGTAGAGTTATTTTAAAGAGACTGTCTATCTTTTGCCGCCTATCTTCCCTATGTCACGCGACATGTGTACATACCAACGACGACGGACAGTAGACTTGCTGACAGAGGAAGCAAGCGGTTTCTTATGAAAAGAGAACAATGAGGCTCTTGACAGATAAATAGTAAGACCTACCAAGTGAATGTAAAGGCGGGTACACCCAAATATCGCAGTCTAGACAGACCGCCTCGTAGATATGTAAGCGGGAGATGGACAGAGCCAAGTCTTCATCCAAGATGACCACTTGCAGTAGCTCAGATCTCCGAATCAACCCCCACCATGACCCCTCCCTCGCACGGGCAGAGATTCAATGGTGGAGACAACCGCTGAAGGGCTCCCTGGCAGCTGTCCAGGTAGACCAGGGGGGTTTCAGCCACACACGGGGCAGCAGGCAAGCCCCTGACGTGCGTCATCCGGCCAGGCACAGCGCTGTTCACTGCAGCAGCATCTCCAATTGCATCTGCCCACAAAAAAAGCTCGAGTTCATCCCAACTTTCCGCCGTCTCCCAGCGCCGTTATCTCCCAGCGTCCCGTCTCCCATCGTCGTCGTCGTCTCCCAGCGTCGCTCCCCCATCTCGAGAAAACCAAGAACGCCAACAATGGCCATTCACGACGCCACCACGGGGCAGAGCGCTGCCGTCATCACGACAACCCTCGTTGCCTTCCTTTCAGGATTCATGCTCGGTGTCTACACGATCCGCGGCTACCTCATCTCCCCTGAGCTGCGCGCCGAAGCTCGCGCCAACAAGGAGGATCCCATCGAGAGCGAGGAATCTGATATCGACGAGGACGATACCATCCTCGATCACGCGCCTAACTGGTCCAATGCCGAGGCCGCCGACGTTCGTGATGGTCTGCGCCAGCGCAACACTGCTGAGAAGAAGGCCAAGAAGCCGAACCCGGAGAAGGCACCGCTTGCTGATTCGAATGAGGAGTGCAAGCTAGTTCTTGTTGTCAGGACGGATCTGGGAATGACCAAGGGTACGTTTCCCCCCCAAGACCAGAACCCCTGCTTGTATCTCGAAGCTTACAAACCATTGTTCCTATAGGCAAGATGGCAGCGCAAGCCTCCCACGCAACCCTCGCATGCTACAAGTCCCTTTCGAAGGCCGCCACCCGCGACCCGTCTTCTGCTGCCGCCAAGATTCTATCCCGCTGGGAGCGCCTCGGCCAGGCCAAGATTGCCGTCCAGATCAAGGATCAGAACGAGATGCTCGAGCTCATGGGCAAGGCGCGCAGCTTGGGTATCACCGCCGAGGTCATTGCCGACGCAGGCCGCACGCAGATCGAAGCCGGCAGCTTGACCGTGCTTGGCGTCGGTCCCGCGCCGAAGAGCCTGGTCGACCAGGTCACCAGCCACCTTAAACTGCTGTAAACGAAAATGGAAGGAATCCGTATATGGATATCAAGACTTGGCACGAAACATAGACTTCAGGGAACATACATGAAATGAGCGTAATGGCGTACGGTATACAAAAGTTGGCGATGGGCTTGATTGTATTTCACATAGCATGTGGGCATTAGCTGTCTCATCGATGATTAAAAAGTCCAATTTGGTGAACGTTTCAATGACGAAGAACTCATCACTGCCAGTCGATCTTGAGCGTGTTCGGTACAATAAATCGTCCCAGTGTCGGGTATTCATGTTCACTAAGGGAGCAAATGCCTAAACGCCTCTTACATGCAACCAACTCCCGGTCCAACTTTTCACTTTTACATAGACCGCCCATTATTCCTTGCGCGCAAATCTCGACAGCGCCGGGCCCAGATCCGCCTCGACTTCCTGGTGCTTCCTTTCTCTCGCCTTCTGTCGCTCCTCCCAGATCGCATCCACCTTCATTCTCTTCTCGTCGATGACGTTCTTCTTGCGCTGCTTCCTCAGGTACTTGCTCAAAGCGCCGCCCTTGCCTCTCGCTCTCTTGCGGATCTCCTCTTCGATTGACAGGGGCTTGGAGTCCAAGTCCTTCTCCTCCCGACGCTGCTTCTCCGACCTCAGATCGATGTTGCCAATGTAGTTGGGATCCAGGGCAATCATCTCGGGCTGGAGCTTGTTCAGCAGGCCCTTGACTTCGGCCTCCTGTCTCTGCTTGGCGGTCTCGAATGGGTTGACCTCCAGGGCGTCGAAGTTGGCCTCTCCGGCGCCAGGGACGATGATGGACGAGAACCCCTCGTCGTGACCCATGCCGAGAACATCCTCGAACGGGCACCACCTCACCCGCTCCATGCGCTTGCCCTCGCCACCCCACGCCATATAAGGGCTCTGCACCTTCTGCTGGACGGGCTCGTTCTTGTTGAAAAGATCCTTCCAGATGCTGGTTTGGGTTCCCCAGCCAACAGCCGTAAGACCGGTGTCGGAAATGGCCACCGATGACGCGGGTTGCCTTGTGAAGTAGCTGTTCACCTCCCTGAACATTCTGATATCCCAGACGGCCATTTTGCAGTCCTGACCGGTCGAGACCATGTAGCGACCTTCCCTGTCGATGGCCATTGACCGCACAGGGCCTCTGTGAGCCAGCAGCTTGACGAGAGGCTCTGACTGGTTGGGCGACCACAAAGTGACCGTGCCGTTCTGGTGACCGACATGAAGAACGGCGTTCCAAGGGTTCTGGGTCAGCGATGTCGGAGGGCCGAGTTTAGTGGGATACTCGGCGACGATGTTGCCGGTGGAAACGTCCTGGTACTTGAGCCAGCCAGTCGCCGCCTATAACAATTAGCAAGGTCCAGAGGAACAATTCATCAGCTGTACTTACCACTGTACCGAGGAGGAAGTGGTAGGGAAGGAATTCCATATGCGTGACCTCCGTATGTTTCCTCAAGCAGTGGATCTCGACACCATTCCTGTCGTAGATGTAGGTATACTTCTTCTGCGCAGCAGCGAAGAACTGGTTGTTGTGAAGCCATCGCACATCCCTAATCGTCTCACCAAGCTGGATCTCGCAGCCCAGCTTGCCTTCCCTCCAGTCGAACGTCGCGACGTGACCCTTGCGACCCGCCAGTAGCAGCTCCCTTCCATTGCGAGTGTACTCGCCCAAGTACGGTCCAAGTTCCTCAAGCTTCAGCTCAAAGCGCTTCTGAGCCGTCGAAACAGCAACACCCTCGCTAATGTCGTCCTGGCGAACCTTGTACGTCCTCTCAAGCTCCGTCTCGGCCTCGAGGAACCCGCCGGTGTTCTCGAGCAGGATCTCGGCATCCTTGGCCTTGTTGGCGGCATCGCGGTACTTGTTCTCGAGTCGCGACAGGTTGGTGCGCAGCTTCTTGTCCTTGATGTTCTTGACGTTGACGCTCTTGCCGCGGCCGTACGCCTTGTTCGCCTCCCTCTGCCGGCGGATCCTCTCGAGCTTCTCGCGCTTCTCGCGTTCCTCTCGCGGGACGAGGGCCGTACGCTGCTTCACCTGGACGGCGCCATTGTCGTGTGTGTTGTTCCGAGATATCGTCTTCGTTTCTGCGCTGTCGATCTCCATATTGGGCGACGCCGTCGTGGTCGGATGCGCGTGTCTTGTGCAGATGCCGTCACGGGGGTGGTAAAAACAGCGAGACCCGGAATTGAGAGATCAGCAGCAGCAACTTTTGCACCATGTACCGGGCGGTCCAGCAAAATTTCTTTATCTTATCGGAACACTTTCCTCGCACTGACATTCCACTGTCGGTGACGGCATCCAATTGGCGCAGACATTTTTTAATGGGGCTTATCGATAGCGCACAAGTGCACTGGAATTTTTCGAACAACCCCGCCATCACAGGCGCAAAACCGAAATTCGAGTCCAAATTCGGGGTCGCCTTGATTGCTGTCACACCGATTTTCTCAGTCGTCTTGCGAGCAACTTGCGCCCAAACTGGCTTCATTACCTTTCCGATTCAAGGCTGGAGGCGACGGCAACATGTCTGCCTCGGTGAGTCACTCTCATCGACCAACCACCAAGCAAGTCAACAAGTCCTTCAAGTCAGGCAAGCATGCATCCAAGGGTGCGCTGAGGGACGCCGCCAAAGGTTCGCCAATCCCCAATATTTCTCCCCGCACAAAACTTCGGAGCGCTCGAGTGGTGTATTTTGTCGCACGAACATATAAGAAACTGACTGTCTCTCTACAGGCAGACTCGGAGGCGAGCGCGGCCAGCGAAAGACACCCCACCAGCAAGTCATGTCCAAGTTCGACCGAAGAAACCAGGCCAAGCAGCGCCAGATCGCGAAGCGCAAGGAGCATTTGGAGGAGACGTCGATTTTTGCCGGAAAAGATGGAGCCCCCAGGACTGTCGCTGTTGTGCCCCTGTGCAAGGACGGCAACGCCGCGACCGCCATCAAGCAGTTGAACAGCAGTCTGGACATCGAGGCCGAGGTGTTGGAGACGCCGTTCCGAGTTCCGGTCGACCGCTTCAAGCAGAAGTTGCAGTATATCCCCCTCAAGCGCGACTTGAATGCTGTTCTGGACGCCACCCGGGTCGCCGACTTCGTGGTTGTCATGCTCTCGGCTGATATCGAGGTGGACGACCTCGGTGAGCTGATGCTGCGTGGTCTGGAAAGCCAGGGTCTGTCAACGCTCTTTACCGTTGTCTACGGCTTGGACAAGATTGAGCCGGCGAAGCAGAAGACGTCGACTCTCGCCTCTCTCAAGTCATACATCACCCACTTCCACCCTGAGCAGGAGAAGCTGTACAGCCTGGAGAACAGGCAAGAATGCTCCAACCTCATGCGCTCTCTCTGCAACACCACACCGAAGGGCGTCAGGTGGCGCGAGGACAGGAGTTGGCTGTTGGCCGAGGAGATCAAGTTCCCCAACTCGGGTCTTGACTCGACTGTTGTTACCGGTATCGTGAGAGGAAGAGGCCTGAAGGCCAACCGGTTGATCCAGCTTGGCGACTACGGCACATTCCAGATCGAAAAGATCACTTCTGCGCCTTTGCCGAAGCAGACCAAGAAGGGCGAGATGGCGGTGGAGGAAGACGAGGCGGAGAAAGTTCTTGATACCCCCGATGAAGACCAGGATGACCTGGCTGAGCTGGCGCCCGACGCCGTGATGGATGATGATGAGATGGAGGACAACGAACCTCCCACGATCAAGAAGGGCGTGTTGCTTGACGACCACCACTACTTCTCCGATGACGACGGAGAGGAGAACAACAGGCTAAAGACCAGAGTTCCCAAGGGAACGTCCAACTACCAAGCGGCGTGGTACCTCGGTGACGACGTGTCCGACGATGGATCGGACATGGAGGATTTCGAGATGCAGGATGAGAACAGCGAGGAGGATGAAGCCCGCCCTGAAGACGGCTTCGAGGGCTACGCACCAAAGGAGCCCACCGAGGCTGCCCCCTCAGAATACGGCGGCAAGTCAGAAATGTTCATCGAGCCTGATGAGGAGGAGGACGCCAAGGGCCTGGCGGCCTACCGCGCCAGGAAGAGCGATGAAGTCGAAGAAGACAAGGAGTTCCCCGACGAGATCGAGCTGCACCCCAACGTGCTCGCTCGTGAGCGTCTCCAAAGGTACAGAGGTCTCAAGTCCCTGCGCACGAGTGAGTGGGTTCAGGACGAGGACAAGGCTTTTGAGCCGGAAGAATGGCGCAAGCTGCTCCGGATCCCCGACTACCAGGCTTCCCGCTCCCGCACCACCCGCGAGGCTCTCGTTGGCGGTGTTGCTCCTGGTACGCGCGTCCACGTTCACCTCAGGGGCGTTCCGGCGACATTCGAGAAGTCCTACGACCCAAGCCGGCCAGTTACTCTCTTCTCTCTCCTGCGCCACGAGCAGAAGAAGACGGCTGTCAACTACCTCATTAACCTCAGCGCCGACTACCACCGCTCCATCAAGGCCAAGGAGGAGCTCATCGTGCAGTGCGGACCTCGCCGCTTCACTGTCAAGCCCGTCTTCTCCCAGCCGGGCAACACCCCCAACGACGTGCACAAGTTCTGCCGGTATCTCCACCCCGGCCAGTCCGCCGTTGCCACATTCATGGGTCCCATCACATGGGGTGCCGTGCCTGTGCTCTTCTTCAAGCGCTCCGAGCCTGTGGCCGAGGGTTCGGAAGAGGCGGAGAACGAGTCGACCATCGGACTCACCCTCATCGCCACGGGTACCGCTCTGCCGCCTTCGACGAACCGCGTTATTGCCAAGCGGGTCATCCTCACTGGCCACCCGTACCACATCCACAAGAAGATCGTCACGATCCGCTACATGTTCTTCAACCGTGAGGACGTTGAGTGGTTCAAGGCTTTGCCGCTGTGGACGAAGCGCGGCCGCAGCGGTTTCGTCAAGGAGCCCCTCGGTACCCACGGATACTTCAAGGCAACGTTCGATGGCCGCATCAACCCGCAGGACTCCATCGGTGTCAGTCTGTACAAGCGTGTGTGGCCTCGTAACGCTATCCCCATTGAGGGACCTCTTCTTGAGGCTGGTGCTGGCCAGTCCGAGGAGGGTGATGTGATGATGGAATGAAAGAATAAAAAAAAAAAAGCTCATGACATGGATATATCAAAAAAGGCTCCGGGAAAAATATAGATATTAGCAGTAACGTCGGCTGTAGATACAAGCCTGATGCCAATGCCGGAGTTCAAGGTTCATATTACTTTTTCACCCCCTTTCAACAGGCCGAATGAATGATCAACTTTCCACGCTCCTTGTCCCCCCGTTTTTACGCATTGAGAGTGTCCAGTCCCTCCGTCGGCCTGGGTCCACCAACCGACTTGCGCTGCTCCTCCGCGCCGGCAGCCTTCCACGCGCTGATGATGAGGTTGACGATGTGATCAACGCCAACGTTCTTCTTCACTTGCGCGAACACGGTTGGGCCTCCCTCGCGCATCTTGCGCGCGTCCCTCTCCATGACACCAAGGTCCGCACCGACAATCTCCGCCAGGTCCGTCTTGTTCACAATCAGCAGATCACTCTGGGTGATACCCGGGCCGCCCTTGCGGGGGATCTTGTCGCCTCCAGAGACATCGATAACGTAAATGATGTAGTCCGCCAGCTCGCGCGAGTAGTTGGCCGCCAGGTTGTCGCCTCCGGACTCGATCAGCAGCAGATCGGTATCGAACTCGCGGTGCAGGTCCTCAAGAGCGGCGAGGTTGGCAGAGATGTCCTCGCGCACGGCGGCGTGAGGGCAGCCGCCGGTCTCGATGGCGCGGATGCGCGGGGCGGGGAGGGCCTTGTGGCGGGTGAGGAACTCGGCGTCCTCGCGGGTGAAGATATCGTTTGTGACGGCGGCGATGTTGTACCTTTCGCGGAGGGCGTTGCAGAGGGCGAGCATCAGGGCAGTCTTGCCGGAGCCGACGGGTCTGGAATTTGGTCAGCACGCGCGAGCTCTCGTATGTCTCAATGGAACAGCTCATTGGTGTGGATGGCTTGAGAGGAGTCCCATCGTTATTTCCAGGAACGGAAAGGTGCTGAGCGGTTTTCAAGCTCCAAAATCACCCAAGTCTGCGCAGCTTGACTTACCCTCCAATACCGATGGTGAAAGCTCTGTCGGCCCAGGTTCTGCCCTCGACAATGGGCATTTCGCGACCAAGGTAGCTTCCAGGACCGTCGAGGATCTCATGGGAGTGGCCGTGCTCCTGGGCATTGAAGCCTCCATCGTGGGAGTGGGAGTGACCGGCAGGGCCGTCGTGGGAGTGCGTGTGAGACATGTTGGGTGCAATTGGATGGTACAGAAGACAAGAGAGATGCGGAAAGTTGGGTATATCACGACTTGAAGGATGAGTTCGTCCGGAGAGCTTCAACTGGAGGGGTTGTGGGAGGTTTAAGGGTCGCGGGGTCAGTGAGCTTATCGATAAAGGTACCTATCTCAGTGGTCGAAGTGGGATGCGATTTTCCCCACGGCCGCCGCCGGCCATGCTGCGGGGATAGCGCCCGTCGCCCTTGCGACCAGCAGCATGAATAATGCCATGTACGTATTTGCGATCAGACGGAACAGGAGGTCATAGGATCTTTCATGAAGCTACACCCGCATGTTGGCGGGAACCCTTGTAAACCACCTCAACTTCGTGTACTGGGTAGACTCAGAAGCCTCTACGTGAATACTTCTAGCATATATCCTCTTAATCTCGCTCGCCCTCACCAGGGGCGGTGTGCATTTAAGTCATAAGAACCAACCCAACGCCAATCAATGCATGCAAAACAGTGTAATAATGGACACTTCAGTCAAGCCTTTGACTGCGGCTCCTTGCTTCCCTCGCTCGCCTCGTCTCTGGGCTTGGGCGGCTTCGGCACCCTCTCATACGCGTTGGGACTCGGCCTTCTCTTCTGCTTGCCGTCGCGATCAGATTTCCTGCCATGGCTATGGCCATCATGATCGTCACAGTCGTGATTCTTCTTCTTGTTACTCTTCCCCTTGCCCTTGTGGTCGGCCGAAGGTACCCTCCTCCTGCCACCGCCGTCGGAGTCGGAATCTGAGTCTGAAGAGGAATCGGAAGACGACTCATCGCTAGATTCGTCGACACCTTTGGGACGGTGGTAGATACAGCATACTATTTTCGAACTATCAGCGATTGGGAATGCACAGAGAAAGGCGGCGCAGGCTTACCTTTTGAACTCTTGCGTCCAAGACCCTCATTGTCAACAACGTCCTCCGCCCACCTCACCGACGGCCTGGTGGGCGCATGCGCACCCCTCAGTCGCAAGATCGCCTGTGTACCAGTCCGGCTCTGGGTATTCGTCGTCTCCGTCTGCGTTTGTGACGGGCCGGGAGTCGAGCGCTGTTGAGGATCTTGCACGGCCGCCATGTTCGCTGTGTGGTGACAGAAAGAGAAGTCGGTGTGTGTGGTTGGTCGTGTGCCTTTAATTGAGGCGCTCCGCACCAATAAATCCTCAGCAAGATTACCCCGCGGAAATTTCTCGAATTGCAGAATGCGCTGCAGCACTGAGTCGCAGTGTCGCTGCGGTTTCGTGCCTGGGAGTCAAAAGCTGCGTGGATCTGTCGCGGTGAGGAGGATCGAAGATATTCAGGGGTCGTCGTGGTTTGTAATTGGTGTTGGGGGGGAGGCTCTAGAACATTGGCCTGCGAAAGAAGGTGGGATGCTTTTTTGTTATTTTTCTGGCATGCAGCTGAAAGTCCATGGTACCCCACGTCATTCCTGGGCCCCACATCGGAGGTACACCCGGTCCAGCCGCCCGATGGCACGCCGGGTCGTCAACTTCCGGAACCGGGGGTCTCAACGGTCCGGGCCGGTATGTTAACAGTGGCTTTTCTTCGTCATTGGGATTGAAAGCAGGCCAGACTATTTTCACAATCGCAATCGCTGATTCCGAGGGTAGCTGATGTCATGGTGTATCAGACATTCGATGTAGTCCTACGTCCCTCATACGTGGTCAAGTGTCTTTGATAAACAATCGGCGTTACAACTACCCGACCTACGTTGCATTTACCGCCACAGCCAAACTGCCAGTAGCGTGCGTGGTCTCTCTCATCGTCACTTGGTTACACAGCCCATTTCCAACAAATACGTTAATCATACAATGAACTTTCATTATTCATGTCTTCAGATGATGTACATGGAGTGATGATGTACAGAATATGCTACAGTTACACAGCGCTACGACGCAGCAGCAGCCCTCTTGGCCTGCTTCGCCGCCTTCTTCGCACCCTTCATACTCTTACGAGGACGAGCCTTGATGTCCTTCTTGGGCGGCTTGTTGATCAACCACGCGTTCATGGGAAGACGCTCGCCAATGAACTTGCCCTCGGGGGAGTAGACCTCGACGACGGGCCAATTCGGCTCCGGGTTCTCGGGTTCGGCGGCGGGCTTGGGCTTCTCCTTTGACACGGCATGCTGCTCTGCCGCCTGCTCCATCTTCAGAAACGGATCAACAGCCTCAGGTTCAGGTTCGGGTTCAGGCTCCTCCAGAGACTCCGGTTCTGATTGCTCGGGGAACGAGGACATCCCGTCGAACAGGTGCCTCGTCCGCACCTGTGCCACGATCTCGATCCAGCCGCAGCCTTCGATGAGGATGTCGGTGGCCAGGACACGCCACGGGAGGTCCTCGACCTTCATGTTGGCAACGTCCTTGCGAGTCAGAGGGCCAGAGCGCTCCTTGGTCACATCATGATTGAGCTTGAAGGTTCCGGCAAGCTTGATTGTCTCGCCGGTTCCTTGGACTGTGAGCTTTTCCACCTTGAGGGGCGCCTCTCGCGTCTCCGCTTGGAACTCGATGGCCTTTTCGGTGGAGGTCTTGTGTTCCGGGAGAGGTGTGAAGTTGTATGCAAGGAAGACCAGACCGGGGGTCTTCGGGGTGATGCGAATCAGTCCGCCGCCGAGGATGAGAGACTGTTTAGTGTTCAGGCTATGCTGCTGCGGCTTGATTCTTGACTCCATGACCAGGGACGACCTGTGTTCAGGCTTCACGTAGTTCTCCAAGTTCGAACGAGCAACACCAGGAAGATCAATCAGCTCGCCCTTTCCGTTGCCGAAGGGTATACGGATGGGAGATGCCGTAGTACCAGGGAGAGTTGAAACCGTAGGCATCTCGGGGTAGTTGGTCTCTGGTCGAACGGGCGGCAACATAGACGTCTCATCCAGGCGCATGTCGTCTTCCACATCTTCCGTCACGTAGCGCTCATTCGGGCCGTCCTCCTCTTTCGCGAAGAGGGAAATGTTGATCGGTGTTTTCAGGGAGATGTCGGCGGTGGTACCCTTGGGAAACACAGCATCGAACAGCTGGCTCTTCCCGACATTGACCTTACCAACCATCCACCCAGCCCCTCCACGTTTATAAATCTTGTCCTTGAGCGGCTTGGTCCACCATCCCCTCTTCGCGCTGACACAGCTCACGTTACCGAGCGTGACGAGCTTTCCGAACTTGCCCAAAGAGCGGCGCAGCACCTCGCGCATGTACGGCATCATCCTGTCCACCATCTCCGCCTGTGGCGCGAGCAGATCCGACCGGGTAATGACGAAGTCTATGTTGAACATGCGATCCCTGTAGTACCGGCCCGCCTTGTTCCTACGGTTGCGATGCTTGAGGTTGGCGTCGAGGAGCATGTGCAGCTTCGGGATGAACGACATGGGAAAGTCGGCGGCATCGATAATGTGGTAGATGTAGTTCTTCTTGAACGGCGACTCTTCGATCGTCTCCCGTAGGGAGTCTATGCTCGGGTGGTAGATGGGTTCGCCCTCGTGGTGGTGGACGAGCCTATGGCATCGGTCGCAGAGCGGCACTCTCCAAGACGTCGGTCCTTTGACTACGTTGCGTTAGCAGATGTCCATCTCAAGCTTCCAAGCGACACATACCGGGCCTGTTCGACTCCAATTCCTCCCCATAGCGCAAAGAGCGAGGATCAAGTCCCAGCTCCTTGAGCTTCTCCTCGCCCAGATTCTGCAGTGCCGCTTCAACAACCGCGTCCTCCTCTTGCGCTTCCCTCCCAGCCTTTTCTTCCTCCATGGTGACATATTCTCGTACCGCCCTCCTTTTCAGATCGTAGTAACCAGCCTGTCCAGGCTCAGCCGTTTGGCTGAGTGCCCCGCACCCACTGCATATCAAGGGCAGGTTCTTGGCCAGGACGTGCGCAGACTCGTCGACCGGCGGTTTCGCGAGAATTTGTTCGGGTGTGAGCTCGGTCGCAGGGACCATCTCGTTATGCACACATCTTTGCTGCCTGTAGGGAAGCCTTCGATGCGCATCTGCCGGCGCAAAAGTGTGTCGCGTGCTAGCTACGCTGAGGCTTGGGCAGAGGTACACTGGCACCTCAGCCAGAGCGGCCCGGTCGCCAATGCTCAGCGCGCTACGAAGCCATCTTGGCGACAGCGCGCGATGCATACTCGTCCAGGAAAGCAATCACCCAGAAAAAGTTGCATGTATTAACGAATTCGGAGTGTTTCCCGCTAAGATTCTCACATTCAACCCCCCCAGCTCAAAAATTCCTGTAGATCCCGGTCCAAGCTTGCGCGATAAGCACCCCAACTTTTTTTCCCTTATCCGGATAATCCCGGCCCGTTTCAACGCAAGGGTCGCAGCAATTTTCCAGCATCTCGACCACGCGACTAAGAGATCGAGGTCCTGAAGTGGGTGAAGCAGTAGTTCCTCTGGGTAGTAAGATATCTGGAGACTTCTCAGACAGCCGCCAAGATGGTCAACGTAGGAAAGAGATGGCATGCTCTCAGAGCTGTAAGTGTTGAAATTTTGAGGATTTTTACTCCTGCGCAAAACGACTTGAACATGAAGCTAACAGTCTGAATAGAAGGTACATATGATTGCTCGAGACCCCGATTCACGATTCCCGGATGGCTCCAATTGACACGAAAACCTCTTGCAGATCCTTTCGGTACGCCACGGCCCCGGCGCCGCCATCCTCCCTCCCAACGTCACAAGGATACACATGGAGTTCGCCAAGACCATGGAAGGCGGCCACATGGGGCCCAGGTCCGTCAACCCTCACCGCACCCCTCCATGCTCACCGGCGCATGGGACGGCTCCTACGAACAGATGCTGATACCGCAGTACAGAAAGTTCTGGCAGAACATGCTCCGTCGCTTAAAGTACCACAACCCCGCCGTCCCCATGATCGTGAACCGCAAAGCCACAAACGAGGGCGCCGCCATGATGCACATCTACTTCAGCAAGGGCGCACCCATCGACCCCGCAACGCTACCCCAGAACCCCTCTTCCGCCATGGACGGAAGCAAAGCCCCAGAACCCACAGAGAACGAGCGTGTCGTCAAGCTCGACATCAAGGACAAGCGCTCCGAAGAGATTCTGGAGCGCTTCATCGCCGAGGCTGAGGCCACTCCCGTCACTCCGACCGAAGAGGAGCTGCGGGAGATGGAAGAGGTGGAGAAGTTGCGCGTGAAGGGAGAGAAGGATCGGGTCGCCAATGCAAAGATCCGCGATGAGGCGAAGAAGCAGAAGGCGATGTTGGACAAGGCGCGTGCCGAGGTTGCCGTATAAGCCCACGAATGGCGGTGCGAGGAGGAAAATGTATGAATACCATGTACAAAATGTACCAAAAAGAATCTCTACATGGACCGGGGGCTCCATGGACAGCTTCATGATTGACATACACCTGCCATTAGGGCCGACTCTGGTCACTGTGCTTCGGACGCATGGAGATCGGAAGTGACGACAAAGAAAAGTCTTGTTTTGTTCATTATAAGGTAATGAGGGCTTACACCCATGTACATCCAAGAAAAGGCCAAAGCCAAACCGAAAAGAAACCCGACAGGCTGCGAGCCGGTGCGAATTTTGCTGCCACCCTATCTAGATGCGTTTCAATACCCTCAGACGGCTTCAGAGCCGTTGTCTGTAACTCCGGATGCTAATGATTTCTGTGTCGTTGACGCGTAATACAATTATTTCAGTCCAAAGCCCTCGCTCTCGTGAACAGCAGTCCATAACATTTGTTCCAATCTTTCCCTAGACCCGTAGCGCCGCAAGGACAACATGTTAAAGCATGTTCGAGCAATGGGATACCTGTTCTCATCTTCGCCCAAACACGTTATCTTGATGGGAAGCAGAGCAGCTCCCATTGCCGGCACTCGATCAGTGCCCGTAATAAAGGACAGCAGCTTTCTCTGTTCTTCTGGTGTCGCCTCCTTGAAGGTTTCCCAAAACCAGCCGACGACCGGTTCGACACCGTCAGGAGTCTTGGTCCCCCAATTGTCGTATTCGGCCACACCTCTGAGAGCATCCACGTCGAGTGCTGTGTCTGAACCTCTCACCAGCAATTCAATTTCTTCCGGCCTGAACAGTGACAAGGCGTTGCCTCCACAGACAGTGTAGAAACCACGCTTGAAAGGCTCGAATTGGCGCGTGACTGCTGTCTCAAGCAGGTACCGAACATAGAGATTCACGTACTCCCACTTATTGGCGTTGGTCACTACCTTTCTCTCTCCGCCTGGGCAGAGAGGAACTTGAGTAATGATCCCGTACTTCTCAACATCGACAACAAAGTCGACCTGGAAAGTTTCCTCAACATCGCCGTCAAACTCTAGCAATTGCCGAAGTCCCGCCGCTAGTCGTGGACGGTATTCTGCGAGATCCTCCAGGGTGTAATTCATACTTGGTCGCGGATGGGCGGAAGGCCCGGTTGAAGAGCTAGGCGCAGACGCAAGAAGCTTGCGGAAAGCGAAAGGTGGCAATGCCACGTCCAGGATAGTCGAGTTGTAGATGGCCAGACCCATCACGACGCCAACCAGGAAGTACTGGTCAGAAGTCTCGAAGGAGTTGGGGTTGAAATAGCAGAACTGGGAGTCCTCGTCGTAGATGAACATGCCTACGCACATGTCAGACAAGTCCTAAGAAGATACAGGACAGAACTTACCATGGTCAGGGTTAAAGACCTCCCGGACGAGGAGTAGAAACCATTCTTTCTTTAGACCGCCGGCATCGAGGCCCTCCTCGCCCTTAAAAACGATGCGCAACCCCTTCTTGATGTCTTCGCTACCGCTTCCAATGACTTCGCTCACCGCCTTCAGGCTGTCATCCACAAGGCACTCTCTTCGAACATCGAGCACTAGAAACTGAGTGACAGCCCGCCGCGTCATTATGCTATCAAAGAAGGCATCCCGAGCTTTGGTCATTTGCTGTCTGCGGGCATCATGCTCTAGAATCTGAGACTTCGCCCACATACTCAACAGGAATGGATACTGGCAGAAAGAAAAGCGGCCCCGTTTCAATTCCCAGGCCTCGAATTCGGCCACTAGGTCGGTGTAGTCAATCATGGTGTTGTAAAAGTCGCTCGTCGGAATAATTTGCCCGTGCGCCTGAATACCGCCTCTGTGGGTGGTGCTACTGGAAGTGCTTGCCGTCTGATCTGGCCGTCGAATGTGCGTCATGTTATTGGCCGCAAATATGAGAGCCAAGACCCGCGCGGCAGCTTTGATCTGCCAGTCTTCGCTGTAAACCATCTTCTTCGGTTGCTCCTTTTGCTTTTTCGACGGAGCATTTTGAGTTCCAAGCGCCGCGTGAAGCGAGGCGGCTGAGTGGTGACCTGCACTCATGTTCGGAATCAACCCAGCGGTGATGTCCACCCTGACTTCCTGTTTCTTCTCATTCTGTCGGATGAGCCTGTATGTCAAAAAGCCAGCGGCCAAGTCTTTGGCTTTGATAAATCTGGACTCTGTATACCGTGCGAACCAAGTAATAAGATGGTTTTGACAGGTATTTGACGAATTTGATATCAAGCCTAAAATTCGTTTGATGATGACGGAATGTTGTCCCGAAACAGGTCCAGTCTTCACAGCCGAACCTTCTTGCTTGGGCACGTCAGGCCTTCTCGTCTCCTTCCGACGCCCTTGTCCCTGGAAAGTGTTTGGCTCGCCGTGAAGGAGCGGGTTTTCCAAGACGACGAGGAGGAATCGCAGGTCCTCGGGGTCTGTCATAGGGCGACCAGGTCGTTTCAACAGATTCTCCGTGGCTTTCAGGAGTGCTCTATGAGTATGCTCCTGTCCGTGAAGTAGCTGAGACTCCAAAGCTCGTAGTTCCGTGGCCGACAAAGGGTCTGGTACTGGCGTCCCCGGCTCAGCACCGGCCCCTGCCTCTCGGTTCATCTCTTCATAGACGGCCATCCAAGACTCAGCTGTGTTGAGTATCGTTCGATACCATTCAGCGACTTCGTTCCATTCAACCTGCGCAGAGCGAGGCGTGACGAAAGACGGCGTCTCATCAATTCGATGTGAAGCCGACCTCTTATGTCGTGCCCCACTTTGACTCTGACTCTGACTGCCTGTCCACCATGTTCCGTTCTCGGCAAAGTCTCCCAGCAGAAGCAGTTTAGGATCGAGGTCAATGATGGGGGTCTCGCTGCACTGTTCCGGATGCCTCGGCTCGGGTCGTGGAAGGGAGGGTCGTCTTTGAGCAGACTCACTCCCTGACCGGACTGCCGGGGCTGGGCGACGAGACAAGAAGGACGAATTCACACAATGGAATGAGTTGAAGCAGGTCATGATGTAGTCCTCAAGAGGCTTGAAGATTCTCTTCGGATCATCAGCTTGCCAACATCTCGGGTCCGCCGGCCGGGGTCCACTAGCCTCGGCCGCGAGTTGCCGCATGGAGGGGGGCCGTTCCGGATATGAAGAGGAGAAGGATCTGGACGGTGGGGGCACTCGTTGCGGGTTTGGGTGCAGCGTGGGCTGTTCTGGGAAAAGGTAGGCCGGTCTGTTGTCGTGACTGTTCTGCCGCCTGTGAACTCCGGAGCCCATTTGTCGCGAGGTGCATGGGCGGTCGCCATTGTCCGCGTGGCTAGGGGCCAGGTGCTTCTCAAGAACTTCGCGGCGCTCATCTTCAAAGCTCGAGGTCCTCCTAATGGCCCTCGTCAAGTGGTTGCGAATGCATTGCCGGATCAGTCTCTTAGTCTGGTCGAGGGAAATGGGCCTGGCCTCGTATCGGTCGGCAGGGCGGGGAGGTTGCTTCTGGGGCGAGGTTGAATCCTGGGACGGGCGCTGAAGCCATTTGGGACCAGCGTTGGCCCTCGCTTGCTGATCGGGAGGGAGGTCATTAATGGTGAGGCACACGGTGCATTTGAAGACCCTCAGGTCGCGCGGCCAGCGCACGAGGGAACCACAAGTCATGCAGTTGCCTGTAGCAAAGTCTTTGCTGCCGCCATCTCTGCTGCCGTTGGCACCACCGCGCTTGTG